GGATGTAGACAATAAACATAGACTGTAACTCTAACTATAGACAATAAGGTGCAACACTAGAGTATTTGGTATTGTTGCTGTCATGTCATGTGTTGTATTTGAACACATGTGACTTGTCTGTGCCTCCTCATTGCAGAGTGCTGACTCGGTGCAGCTCGCTTTGGAACTGGACGGCTCGAAGCTGGAAGGCAGGTCCGTCCGGGTGAAGAGGTCGATGAAGAAGGAGAAGCAGAAGCCCAAAACTGACGGCAAAGGAGCAACGGGGAAGCCTGGGAAGAGCCCTGCGAAGGGCTCGGGACGGGAGAAGGGAGCCGGTCGAGGGGGTTTCAAGTCCCCGAAGACGTTCAGAGGAAAGCCGCTGACCAAAAGCGCCGCCTCCTTCAGGGGAGAGATGGCAGATCCAAACAAAAAGACAAAAAAGAAAGGACTGAAGAGGAAAGTCAAGCCCAACAGGTCTGTTCACATCTGATCCAGAGGAGAACGGGAGTAAGTGTGCGAGGAGTCTGTCTGAATGTTCCAACTGTCAGGAGGAAGAGGATCAGAAGATTATCTGGAAAACCAGCAGCAGGAGGTTGTTGGTTTAACTCAGGACAGTTACTCACAAAGCTGCTGTCGGGACAATGAAGCTAACAGTGTGTGCATTCAGTCACAGCGAGTCTGTAAAACCATCGTGTCCAAGTTTGGTTGAAACTCTGTACAAAATACAACATAAAGTAAAAAACTAACCAAGACTTCTTTCACCCAGTCCAACAACATGGCTTCTGATTGGTCACCCTGCTGTTGTGTTGGCTGGAGTCGTCTCGTGTTTCTGTTGTTTGTTAAAATCACTTTACTTTGGTGTGAGAATAACACATTTCTTTATCTAGAGAATCCTGTAAGTCTGGTGGTTTATGAGTGTGTTAGACATGATGTCGAAACAGGACTTGTAAACTTGTTTCACTACATTTAAATAACCTTAACCCTAACCCAGATACGAGTGAAACAATCAGATTCAAACAATGCAGCTGTTAAAAAACCACAAAGAAACTGAAACATCTGAGTGTGGACGTGACATAGACGAACTACACAGTTTGTTATTTGGGTGTATTTTAAGTATTTGGAGCTGTTTTACCTTCATCACTACCGTACAGACCTCAGTGTTGTCCGTCTTCTCTAGTAAGGCTCAGCAAAAAGCAGATTTAGAATGTTACTATAGTGTTTATTGTATCAGGTTTACGATAAATAATCATAAAAAAGCCTGTAAATAATTGTTATGTGCACATCATGGTAGTGGTGATGGAAGGGAGACGTCCAGGCCTCGTTAGGTGGGTCTTATGCTGTCACTACACGGAGCTGTAAGCCTGCAGTTTCTGCACTGTTCACCACATTCAGAAGCTTTTATGTATTTCTCGTTACCATTCTCAGTCATTCCAGTCGAAGCATGACAGAAAAAACTGAGGCCTACAGATCTGTACATGAGCTTAAGTTTTACCACTTTTTGTCAGCATTTCCCAAAGAGATGAGAGTCACAAAAAGATGCAGAGTGACTACAAAGATGGCTTTTGCACTCATGACTCATTATTACTTCTAAGTTGATCAATGGAGCATTTGAGGTAAAACTAAAAATTACCAGTTTAGATTTACTGCATTAAAACTACAGGCCCCTTTCAGACACCAGAACCCTGGTTTGTTCATCTGACAACAATTTGTTTGTCTGAATTCCCAACCTGTCAGCGATCAGGTTGGACCTTCACTTTCAATGAGGCTGAACTGAACAGTCACATTAACGGATAGGCCGACTCAAGCAGCATCCGTCCTCAGGTCGAGTCCTGATCTACCTGAGCAGGCGGTTATTTGGGGACTCTGCAATTAGTTTAGATTGAGTCTGTTGTTGCATTATTGTGTATTACACATCACTTGGTGTGTTGTCTAGTCTTTCCTGAATGACAGACATGGTGTGTTTGCTCTCCCCGGCACTGTGGGTGGTACCTCTGCATGATTCCATGAGGAACATTAACGGAGAAGTCACCCACGTCTGAATGACTAGAAACGGTCGCCTTTATGTTTCAGTGAAGCCAGACATGAGAAAGAGGCTGGAGTCAGTGTACCTTTCATTATGGAGACTCAGTCCTCCTCAGCAGGGACGATACCGGCCGTGTACATGTTTCTGCAGAGATGTTCTTTGTTTTCTCAGCTGCTCTTTGCCGGAGCAGCTGTGTTGCTCTACTTTTCTCTTTAAAAGAGCCGAAAGATGCTCCGTTGGATTCAAGTCAGACAACGTACGTGCAGGTCACAGTTTTTATTTTTGGTAAAGCCGCAGACATTCATGGTGCCGTCTATAAACGCAGCGCCACACTGTTCCTTCACCGCTCCATCTCAGGAGCTTTCCAGGTTCATGCCAAGCAGGCTGGACTTCATCTGACCAAAGAATGTGCTCCCGTTATTCAGCAGGCTTCTTTTGAGGTTCTGATTTTCACATAAGCGCTGTGCCAAGACTAAAATGACTAAAGCACTTGGCTGTCTGAGCAATGCTCCGTTTGTGCCGTCGTTTATGAGGACACCACTGCAGCTGATTAGTTGTGCTAGAACTCATTGTGTACGACTACGTTTCCACTTCCTGTATCCTTTTCCATCCTCGTGAGGTTTCACCATCTGTGTGTCCAGTCACCTGTTGGAGGCTCATGTCAGACCCTGACCTGTTCTCTCTTCAGCTGTCACGGCGAGCTTCAGAAAAATAATGGTTAAAAAAAATAAATAAAACAGACACTTTGGTAGTTTGTTCACATTTTTTTATTTTCTGCAAAGAGGTTCATCCTCTTTAAAATGAACAAAACATTTCACCACTTTTTAAAAAGTGTTTCCAAGTCTAGACTGAAAAGAAAGACAACTGATACCAAAACAATAAATATTCAAGCAGACAGGGCGTTCCTGCTCCTGCAACATTCTACTACTGATATAATGAGACAGCTGGAACACGCACACGTCAGACGGAGTAAACCTGGTACTTGATGTTGTCAGGATGTGTGCTACATCACCCTGAAGGAAGAAGCTCATTCATGTTTTCAACAAAACCCAGTCCAGTTGGTTAGCACATACGTAGTGATGGAGGACAGCTTGTCTGAATTTGTCTGGGCTCTCTGATTGAGATGTTGTAATACCCCAAAACGGGTAATATAAGTTTAAAAGAAAAAAAGCTGTCATGGATAAACCAGGAATAAAAACTGAAGTCCCTTTAGGATGCCTTGTCGGGAGGTGATGGACGTCAGCCGAAGTGATGAAGGCCGAGGCGTTGGCGTGTCATGATGGAAGGACGAGGTCCACGTCAGGGAGAGGAGGATGAGGAAGAGGAGGATGAGGAAGAGGGGGGTGGGGCGGGGGCTGCTTGGTCCTCTCCTTACTCTATATCGTCTTCGCTCAGACTCTGTGCACTCACGATACGCTGCAGGACAGAGCAGGAGACACACTCAGAACTCTGTGGTTTGGTTTAAATGGAAAAAGATCAGTGGGAAGAAAGAGCCGATCCTGGACCGGCTCGGTGTGAGTGATGGCTGATGCTGGACCAGATGAGAGGATGTTGGGGCCACGCAGCTGGTTCCAGACCAGTTACTACAGAGTTGGATGCTGCCTGGCTGAGTTTTGGACTGACCAGTAGTAGGAGTGCATTCCCTGCCTGTCTGACACAGTTCTAGGTTGATGCCTCCTACCTGACTGATGTGAGGGTGAGGTGTGGCCTACCTGGCTGATGCTGGGCAGTTTGGTGAGCAGCATCTGGAAGACGGGCGGTGGCAGAGTCTGCTGCAGCACCTGCAGCAGCTGCTGAGGCTGACCGCACACCGCGATGGCGTTGGTCAGGTGGTCCACACCTTTCTCATAGTCTCCTGTAGACAGAAGCACAAACATAAGACTTATTCTATCTGCAGGTTTTACTGAAGCAAAGAGGAATCAAAGCCTATTTCACAAATAAAAAATAGAATCTCCATAAAGTGCAGCCGAAGCAGCTCATGTCTGCACAGACTTTGACAGACTTGTACATTATTTTGTTGATAACATTTCAGAAACGGCCTGTCACAGTTTGGCTGGTGTTACCCTGAGCCAGCAGCTCCTCCCCCAGCTGGATCTCCTCCAGGAAGAACTTCTGCACCGCTTCAGCATCCTTCAGGTCTGGGAGCTGCAGGACAGTCAATATTCAGCCACAGGAAGCAGATTTAAAGACCGATTCCTGTCATGTTTGTAAGTCGCACATTATTTAAATAAACTCTATATACAGTGGAGCAGCTATACATGAAACATTTAAAGTGTAAAGGCATTTAGCACAAGAGTCTTGGTAAGGTTTGTAATTTGAAACAAAATAGGCATTAAAGCGCCAACCCTCAGCTGTTTTAGGTTTCTATTAATATAGAATGAAATGTGTGAGACATACGACGTAACGGTCCGAGTACTCGGCACCTGGACGGTACCTGGACGGTACCTGTACAGCGGCTGTGCTCACCTTTGCCATGCCTGCCCTCTCTTTCGCCAACTTCTGCTTTCTTCTCCCTGTGACAAAAATAAAGAACACAAAGCACACACAGCATTCAGATTACTACTGCAGAACACAACCGCTGCTCAAACTACAGACGCCTTAGTTTATACGGTACCATTACCCACAGCCCACATGTCACAACTATCTGTCTGTATATTTATATACACACAGAACACCCAGCAGCAGCCAGAGCCCGTTATGCTGCCCGGGTTCTGGTTCTACAGTCGCCTCCTTGGACACTTTAACGTGAACGAGTGGACATCCAAACACTGGTGGAAGCTGCTTCATAAACACAAACTAGAGACTCTGTATAGATTAATACACAAAGTGTGGTGTGTTTGTGCAGAAGCTGCTGGTTCTCTGCCTCGTGGTAAAAGCTTCCCTCTTCCTCAGGCGGCCGTGTGACGCTGCTCCCTGAATAAGTCGATAATCTCCAGCTGGCTGAGAGCCCTGCCGGCTGGACGGGATGCTGACCGTGGTGTTGTGTAACGTCCTGGAAGCGTAGCAGCTTTGTGAATGAGTGTGTGTGCTGCAGGTCACGTCAGGAGAGACCAGACAGCTGCTCTCATTAATAGTAAAGACACACTGCATGAGCTGGAGCTGAGAGCCTGAATACTGAGGCGGCAGATGTTCACACAAACTGGTCACAAGCTCCAGACTGGAAGGACTGATCAGGTGGGTAGAAGGACTTAACTAAACATAACTAGTTACTAACCGCTAAAGTGACCCTGATCTACACTTTCAACCCCAGTTGTGTTGAAAATGGTGTGACCACAAACACAAAGTGACTG